AATCCCCGCTGTTGTATGTTTTCTTGCCTTTTTGACAGATTAGCCTCTGTTCCTGTGCTTGCACCACGCATCTCAATTAACGCTTCTTCGTCCGCCTCAACACCAAAAGCGAACTTTCTCCTCTACCAATTTACTCTTCCATCTTCCTTCTCCGATATCTCTTTCCCCAAAGAAAGCGCACCAAAACACAGCCAAAATGACACAACGCCTAAAGCACAGCCGGGGTGAAGGATACCGTGACTGTAACTTGCAATACATTTCTTCAGTGGGCTGTAGGGGACTGCCACTGAAGCGCACGTGACCTTGAACCATTCATGCGCTGAAGGATGCTCCCGAGCCAATTCGAGAGTTTCATTTGTGCTGACATTATTTTAGAGAGGCTCAGCTGGTAGGGACACATCTTCACTCCGGTCATTGACGACGCTCTCGTAGGCGACTTCGCCCAGCCCAGCCTGTTGGCAGCACGCCGCGGCAGTGTTTGTGCATTGATTGCGCAGTCTTTACCATCCAAATCGGGCGAATGGTTTAGTGGTATAATACTCCCTTAGCATGTTCGCTCCTCCGAGCCCATCATTGGGAGTGGTCCAGGGTTCGATTCCCTGTTCGTCCAACTCAGGTGGTTAGATTCCACTGTTATCCACATTTTTTGCCGTTGATCGTAACATTCCAGCCGTAGTATAGTGGGGTGTCCCTGTGCTTAAAGTTTTGCTGTACTGGCAGCGGACCTACCCGGGAGTTACGGCGTTAGCAAATACATTAGATATCTTCAAGTCCGGTAGTTGCTATAACTGCTTCAATTCTATTGTTTGTACAGTGAAAATGCCGGGATTCTATCTTGTCTTTTCTATAAGAGCTTGGCTCCTATTGAATTGCCTCGTAAGATTGGCGACCGTTAAGGTAGTGAACAGTTTTCTATGTTCCACGACAATGATACGACCAGGGACGGAGATGCAGCTCTTCAACGGTCTAAGGTCAAGGGATGTGGATGGATTACTCCGGTATTTGATAAATAATAGAAGTTCTTTTCTGTGTATGATTCCAGGAGTGGAGGCGCTGAATGAAAGAGGTTGGTCCAGCTAGTTGTCGCGCTAAATTGTCAGAACAGATCAAGAGAGTCAAAAAGATTAATGAATTTCAATCCTATTAGGAAGTTTTTTCTGGCGTTAGCTATGTCTTTTTCGAGATTCTGAATCTTTTTATTCCAAAGGTGCGTTGAACAAAACAACATAAAAGATGACGCTGTGTTAGAAAGAAGAGGGCACAGGTTCTTCATCATCAGCCAAATGGCCGATTCTATCGTAATCCGCCTGCAGGGTACTCAATCTGGCACAGAATGTGATGAGTATCAATCTTGAGGTGTTGTGTAACGTTAAACGCCGAGATTGACCAGGCACGAATCCAATACCAGTCAGAATTCAATGGTTCCACCATCGGGAATTGGCCCCCACATTAAGGGACAGCTGTTCTCATTCGCCAAACGTCAGGGGGGACTCCCTGCACAAGCCAGCCTGTCACTAATCATATTGACGTTTTCCCACGTCAAACCAACATCCACCACACCATCATCTCATCGTATCTCATCTCGTATTGCATCTCACCGTCTGCAGCCTTACTAGATATCCACGCTCGCTCACTCACTATTCACATGTTTTTCACGTGAAATACCGCTCGTTTTCCCCCAGGGTCAGGTCAGGATGGTCCGCGCCTTTAATCTCCGCCTCGCCCTTCAGGCAACCGCTATCAAAGTCTCGGCAAATCTGGTCACTCAGCTCATCATACACCTGAGAGCGCCCGGCGGCCACTCTCCCTTCGATGAGCAGCAGGTCATAGAATTCGCCATTTATGGATTTGTCGGGTCGCAGGTCGGCAATGTCATCCAATTTATCCTCGAGGACTGCTTCCCGACTGGTCGCGCCATGAGGGCCAATGAGACCTTGCCTCAGGTTCAGGGCGACGCCAAGCAGTTGGAAGAAAAGAAGGATGACGACAAGAGAGGAACGAAAAAGTCATATTTCAGCATCAGTCCTGACCTTATTTGGCGCAACGTTTTGGCGAAACTCATTCTCGATCAAACTATCGGTCTGGCTATCAGCGGCAGCGTCTTTCTCATCTGCACCAACATCGCCCGTGTGGAAAGTCCCTTGATGGTTCTCGACGTTATTGGCAATAGGCTATGGCCTCTCATCAAAGCTGGCTGGCATATTTGGCCGTTAGTAGCCATATGCAACTTTCTCTGGGTACCCTTGCGATCAAGAGTTCTTGTGGCGGTCTGTGTCGGGTTTGGCTGGAGTATCTTCTTAAGCATATTTGCCATGAAGAAACAGCATTGATGGTGTAATTCTATGGGATTGACTTGGAGTTTGGAGTCTGCAATGAGCGATGTATGTGTACAGTATAGAGATATTCCCTACGGAGCGCTTTTCTTTGTATCTTGGGCTGGGAGTTGTGGAGTTGGGCATGAATTGGTGCAAAGTGGTCAGAGTGTATTCTATGGTATGCACGATACAACTGTGACTGTTTCAATGGTGACGAGGAAGGCTTGTGGCAGTGATAGATAGCCATCATTTTGGAATTCGACATTGTCTTGGTCTTGCTCATCACAATCGCACTTAGGAAGCTCATTAAAGTAATGTCTTTTGAAACTTAGAGGGCTCGGCTTGAGGTTGGGTCATTGTTTATTTCTCTCTGTTTGCTGAGGCACTGTAGGCATTGAGCATCAACAAACAATTATCTGATGCAAACCAAGATCCTTATCAGCCAAGATAAGGATCAGTCGCTTGATCCTTCCCAGGATGGTTTAGCGCAATCTCTAGCCTTATCTCCGGTTCGCCTCTTGGAGCCGCCATCAACTAAACTCACTGACCTTCCCCGCGTCTGTCGGTAAACCAACAAACGTGAACATGAATGCGCAAGCAGCATGTTCTGTTGCTCCTATCTTTCCATTTGATTCCAAGCCCATACTGTGATGCCACCCCAGCGTCGATCATGGGTCGGATGTTCGAGATGCAAGAGCTTCAAGAAGAAGTGCAGTGAGGAGAGACCCGCTTGTCAGCGATGTACCCTTGCTGGCGCTAAGTGCGAGTATGCCGTCAAGTTACGTTGGGGAGGGAGGCCATTCGATCGCTCACCTTTTGGAGAGTGTTTGACACAGAATGAGGGTAATGTTCAAAGATTAGGTATGTCAATTCGATGGTACTGCCGTCCGTGTATATACTAACACTGTCAGATCTAAACAAGAAAAACTTCATTTATGTTTCGCCTTCTACTCCCAAGTCTGGTCCATCAAAGGTTACATCACCGCCAAAACAGGCGGATGATGAGCCACAATGGATACCGACACCCGAAGTTCCCGATTCATCCGGATCTTTGCAGATGATCCTTAGCCAAGGACAGATGCCAATTCCTCTGATTCCCTCTGTCGAGCTCTTCGGTCACCTCTCTCCGTTGCACAGATCAGGTCTTCAGTACTTCACTGAAAGAACAGTCAGGGCCCTTGCGCCCCACCCTCAGATATTTAACGAACTATGCGACTTAATTCTGCCCATGGCGATATTCCATGAACCTCTACTCCAAGGCATCGTCGCACTCGCAGCAACGCATCGACTTGCCAGCTGCAAGACGAGTGAAGAACAGAACGCCCAAGCGCTCATCGTCGCTGGCTTCCAAGCTCTCAGTTCAAGATCGCTCTGCCAACAACTGTCAGATTGCGCTGAGAGCCAAGAACTTGTTCCACTTCTCGCTACTGCCCGAGCGTTGTTCGTCTGCGAAGTGTTTGCCAGCGAGCCCAGCGCGGACCGATGGAGCGTACATTTTAGAGGAGCCAGGGGATTAATTTCACGAATTCATGACAAAGGCCTCTCGCAAAACCCGACTGACGAGTTGCGCTTCTTACTGCGATGGTTTGACATGACGGAGTCACTCGTGTGCTTATCGATCAGCGATCTTGCTCCAACACAGTCCGCCATTCCCTCGCCGACGACTCTTCCATCTTTCGATCCAAATGACGAGCCTGTGTATATCGACATGTATCTCGCGCGTACAAAGGACCTACTTTGTGTCTTCAAAGAGATCGCACGACTATCCCACATCAGAAATGGAGGGGAATCGTCGCTAGATGGCGAGCAAGTTGATGCTGAGGTTTGGTGGCTACTGAGCCATCTCCAAAGCATCATCGACCGAGACCAGGCCAACCCTCCTCCCGTTATGTCAATACGCGATCGAGATCTTTCTGTCGCTGAAGTCCACGAGTACCGAATGTCGAATCAAATATGGCAGATGACGGGGCTACTCCTGATTCACCGGCGCCTACGCCACGAGCCCCGATCGTCAACCCTTGTTCAAGATCTCGTACAACGCATTCTAGATTGTGCAGAACGAATGACGCTGCGCGACGGCCTAACACCTGTGACTCTTCTTACGCCACCTTTGTTCTTTGCCGGCTGCGACGCTGTCGGAGATGACCGACCGAGGATAAAAACATCGCTACAGGGTGTTTCGACTGCTCTCGGACTTCTGAACGCGCAAAGAGCATTGGAAATACTGGAACAATACTGGGCTGCGGATCCGGGGATTGATGATGCTGTAGCCGATAGGTCATGGCCGAAGAACAGCCAATTTCTCCCGTACTGAACAAGGAATACTGACCTGGGTTAAATGTTTGTCCCAGAGAAGGCTTTCTCGTCCAAGTAGCCCTCAGGGGTTATTTCTTCTGACACCCTGATGTTTGGTTGATGTCTCGAAAGAACTTCTTCGAAAGACTTGCCATCCAGATTCACTATGAAGACTATATCAACGAACTACGCAGGTGGGTAACAGAAGAATCGTCTTCTAAGGCTTAGGTTGCTAAAATAAAGTAACCTAAGAGTGGGGCTAAAATGGCATAAAATAACCAAATTATTTCATCCCTTATGCTCTTGGCGGTGATTTCTTCTGACACCTTGAGGCCACGACATTCAATATTTGGCCACTGGTTCTGGAATATTGAGCTCGCCTGCTGTATCTTTACTGGTTTAAACTCTATTTTCTTCCTATCTGTTCAAAATAGTATATATACAGCTCTTAATCCTCTATCCAAGTAAACAAAGTTCTTCAAAGCCTAGTACATACTTCCGCCCAAAGCCTCCGCATTAATATGTGAACTCTCTCCAACCGCCTTCTTCACAACAACTACAAGATCATCAAGCGTACCCAAGAACCGCACGAACGCATAGACAGCAGCCGACCAATGCCTCCCCTGTGGGCTAGCTAAGTACGCTCTAGGATTGTCGTCATCTTGCATCTCGCCCTTGAGCTTTCTGAATTGCATCGCCCTACCCACCAACGGCGTTGGCAGGATTGCCGGAAGTGGCTCCCCAGAGATCAAAGAGTGCTGGAGTAGAGTCAAGGTCGACATGAGATCTGCGACAATGTTCTCGTCGCCTGGGGTGATTCGCTGCATGAACTTCTCTCGAACGGGAAGAGGCAGTTTCATCAGGGTCAAGCTGAATTGTGTGAGGAAGACGTTGAGATTAGTACAGAGGTGGTTCGCTATGCTGAGAGTTTCGGTATCTAGGTTCGATGTCGAGAACTCGAACTTTGTCTTCTGAATAGGAAGGGCGATTGAGTTGAACACTTCTTCTGAAGTGGTAGCTTCTTTCTCCATGACTTCAACGAAATCCTTTGGGGGTGCGCGCCAGACCGTTACAAGAAGGGCATATCGATCTTTAACGCTCGACAGTTGGCTTGACATGATCTGACGGTAGTGACGGTTTCCGGAGAGAGGTCGGGGGAGAAGGGCGACAAGAACAGCTGCTCCGAATCCGATCAGCACAAGCAGTAGCCTTCGCCAGAACACGGAGTATCCCACGCCGGGATTGCCGTAACTGGGAATATGTGTGTCGACCCAACTATAAGATACAACCATGTACATGGTGGATGTAAGCATGATGCCGGCTGCCAGATGCTGCGGAGGAGCGAACAGCCTCCACCACATCATACCGACAATGGCAACTGCCATGATAGCAGCAAGACCGTATGGATTACCCGGGCCATTGCCAGCTCCGATGTACCAGCAGACTAACCCAAGCACACCTCCCGCAACAGTACCCAAAGTGCGAATGATGATACCAGAGTTGAAATCGGACATGTACGGTTCAAGTGCCATCTGCGCCATGATCAATGCCCAAAGGCCCTTCTCCCGGTAGTAGAAACCTGCTGATGAGGGTATTACGGCAGGGACAGCCAGAGCAATGGTCAATGCAAGGGTTCGCAAAGCGTGTAGACCCTCGATGCCAGTGAAGAAGTTGACCAATCCCAAGAAGATCAGACTTGGTTTCTTGCGCTGTCGGCTCGTTACTTGGTGCATATTCTCCAAGATGGAAGCTGCTGTCTTCTCCGTTTCCTCTTCCGACTCGACATTGCCTTTTGCCTTTTTCTTGAACAATCCCTTCTTCTTCTCAGGCCTTGAGACAGTGGACATCGTACGCGTGAGGTCTGTGGTGCCAGGGATGGTGGAAGGCGGTGCATCGTTCGAAAGTCCAAGCGAGAAGAGCTTCTGCAGTCCTTTTGGGAACCACATGCGTTTTGTCGCTCGGGTCTTTTCCATTTCCACGGCCCTATCGAGCACAACGCCGACGCTCTTGGTTAGGTTGATCAGTCGTTCGTGGTATAGCAGACCGGACATCAGACCAAACAGCGGCGGTGCCCGATCGTCTTCGTAGATAATCTTGCCATCTGCATCAAAGAGATGGGCGTGAGGCGCGAAGAGATGTTCCGCAGCTGAATCCTCAAAGTCGTCGAGAGCTTCCTGGAGAGATGTGAGAACCTGTTCATGCTGAGCCACAAAATCATCCTTCGACTTTGCTGATAGTGCCTGAACGATAGCATCGATGCTTTGCTCTAGAGCCTGTAGTAAGGGTGTGGCACAGGAAGATAGCGAGTCGATGGCCTTGATGAGCATATCTTCTGTATCAGGATGTCTCGTTAGTTCGCGGAAATCAGCTGCCTTGGCGATATGGTATGCGAGAGGATGCTTTTTCTTATCGGATTTCTCGAGCTCTTCGGCTGCTTTCGTAAGAGCTTCGTCTTTTGCATAGAGCTCTTCGCGAGAGATGGACAACTGTAACAATTCCCCAAACGACACCAGCACTTGACGGAGAGGCTCTTGGAAAGACTTGATGTCATCAGGACTCCATTTCCGACGCGTAAAGTCCATTGGAATCCACTTGATGGCAGACTCGATGCTCTTGTGCGTCACCGCCAAACCGCTCTTGAGTTCCTGAAGACGCTGTGGTTCGAACCTTGATCGAGACTTGAAGTGCCAGGTCAAAGCCTTGATATAACCATTCATTGGGCGAAGTAGGTCGGTCATGCTCGCGAGAGTGATCTGCGATGTCGACTGTGGAAAGATCAATAGGTTGCAGACTGCGCCGATGCCGACTCCGATGGCACTTGGTAGGATGAGAACTTTGGGGATTGTGCCTTGAAAAGTAGGGATGAGCGGAGCAATAGTCAGGTAGATGTCTGACACGATCATCGCAAAGAGCGATACAAGCATCAGATTTGGCGCAGATACGCGCAGACGAGCCTAGGTAATCCGGCGGTCAGCAGACTGCGTTGCTTGGATAAAGACCAACTTACCATCAAATAGACAAACAATCCTATCATGCAAAAATACGTGACTGATACACGCGTATCAAGCATAAATCCCTGATAGATGGCGATCTGCTGATAGGTGGTCTGACCAGAAGCTTGGCCAACATTAGTCGTGTTTTGCGGCGCTGATTGCAGTAGCTCGATATATCGCTGCTGTAGATCAGCCTGGGGTCTTGTCGCCAAGGCTGCTTTCATGGTGATGGTTCCCCAAGCCCAACCAAATGCCATACCGACGCAGATCATTAGTCCTGCCAGGACATGGATGAAGACGACGCCCGAAGGCGGCATAATGAAGAGAACGACACTAAAACACGGTCAGTCAATTGAATTGATGGATAAACGCGTCGCAAACTCACCATCCAAAGAATGTCGCTTGTCCAAGCACGCGCAAAGTATCGCTGATAAAGATGAACAAGGTAAATATCCAGACAGCCAACGAGCATTTGAACAAAATCTTGAGATCTTTCGCGTTGAAATGATCCAGCCACGCCGGTAGTTTCCTAGGATTGTTGAAAGCGTGAAACGACGCCTCATCGTCGGCCATTGAGCTGTCGCTCTTGGATGTCGACCGTTTAAACGCCATCTTTTAGTCGCACTCTCTCCTTTCCGTCTCAGCCGGCAGTTGTTGATGCTTTATGTTTTGATGACGTTTATTTTTTAGCGTTCGTGAATGAGGATCGCCATGCCAATATGAGGCGGGAATGGCGCTTGTCTTAGTCAGATTAGACTTTCGTCTCGTATAGCCTGCACTAATACGAAAAGGTCAGCATCTAATTTCGGTCGGTATCTAAGCGCTATGAGCCTATCTAAACGATTCCATCGCTTACTGCACATCATTGTGCATGGGATCAATCGAAGATTGGCTTCTGAGACATGAGAGACAGAAGAGTTTAGTCGCATTACACCACTTTAGACTATCGATTTGGTCACTTATTTCTGTCGCACTAAATTTAGACGATGCGCCCCTAAGATCCCTGTTTTCGGTTACAACCATTTTCTTGAATCCTTATTTACCCTTGTGCCCAATAAGAATCCCTTATGAGACTCTATACGGCTCGTATATGTACTTGAACGGCGCTTCCAATTTTATACATAGCCGGCTTGTCTGTCTACTCTTGCTGGTTGCTTGCTCTCGCCGCTGCATGTTCACGGTGCTTGAACAGAGCAAGGAATCCCAGATCATAGCACACCTTCAACGATCCAGCCATGATGAACGCCACCCAGAAGTAGTCGGAATCTGCCAAAAGGCCTGTAATCAGTGGGCCTAAGCTCTGTGCAGTAGTTTTGGCCACATTCATAAGACCGATCACGACAGTCCTTTCGTTCGGAAGGATGATAGCAGCGAGGAATGCTGAGCGAGGTGCAACGTCCATTGATTGAGTGCAGGAGCGAAGAATCAGGAAGAGGACCGAGATATGAACTTCGTTGGGGATGGGGATTAATGCGAGACAAATAGCTGATGGGATATGGGTGAAGACCATTGTCTGCGATTTCACGTCAGTTATGTTTTCCGGGGCGAGCTAGGTAAAACACTTACTCGAACGTTTCCGAAGCGCTTGGCGAGAGATGATGCCACCAGAACTGAGCATGCTGCAATGATGCTAGTGGTGAAGAAGATTGAACCCAACTGTCCTTCTTCGATGTGATATTGTGACTTGAAGTAGAATGTGATCCATGACCTGGTACTAATTAGTTTCATGGAGATATAAGGTGTACTACAGGGAGCTTACAGAGGAGCAAGCCCAGATGCGAAGCTATCCAGAGCGAAAAGGGTGCACAAGGTAACGACAACTGGAATGCTTTCTCGAGATATCTTGGCTCGTAGCTGTTTCTTCGGGGGCGCTTGGGTAGGAGCTTGTCCTTGGCTGGGCTGAGCAAGCAGAGGAGCCTGTTCGTCTGTATCCGAAGCCGATGTTGGTTGCTCCGCTTCATCCTGAGCCTCTACTGCAGAACTCAAGATAATAGCTGAGATGAGCTTTAGGATGCCGGCGGCGGAATAGCCGTAGAAGACGTTGCGATAGATGTCAACGACGTCCATGCCGAGGTTGACACGCATGTAATGAATAGCCCAACCAGAGGACAACAATCCGAATGCACCACCGGCGGTACCACATAGGCTGTACCAAGCATAGACGTCGCCTCGCTTGGCTGGGTCGGTTAGATGAGCGACGATACTCTCTTCGACACCACGGAAGGGACCAATTTCGTTGCCACTATTCAAGAAACGTTAGCATTGATATCATTCTCGCAGGTCTGTATCTTACCCAGGACTGATAACGCCCAAAATTGCAGCCGCCAACAATATCCAATAGTTGCTTGAAGTCGCAAAGACAATTCCACTAGCAGTCATCAAGATCGCACCCAAAGCCAGAACGGCGCGTCTACCAATACCATCTGCAAACAGGGCAAGGATGAAACTGATGACGATGTCGCCAGCCAGCGTCAGGGTCATGAACAATCCGACACGAGTGGTGGACACATCGAGTTCTCTCAAGAATGCGACGAGAACAAGTGTAGATGCGCCATAGGCAAAGAGACGAATGAATCGTTGGATGCAGAGGATCTTGATGTCGCGTGTGGAATTGTATAGCGATACAAGACCAAGCTCTTCTAAGACCCTTCCAGCTGCACGGGACTGTGAGCTCTCATTATCGGGATTTGACATGTTGAATGCTGAAAAGAACTGTGAAGGGATCTTATTGTAAGTCCGAAGATCAATTGATAAGAAATTTGGCATTTCATCTTGTCTGGCATCAAAAACAGCATATATACTTTTCTATGTCCGAGGCTCCGAGCCAAGCACCCTTGGCGCTAAAAATCCATCGCAGCTAAGGAGATGATAGTGGGAATAATTGCTAGTAGCGAGACGTCATAGCTACCGGTGGAAGAATGTTTACCAGAGCGCGGGCTCTGATTGGCGAGTTGAGTTAGTCATCGTCGGTTTTCCGAGTGCAGGGCAGTGAGTAGGTGTAGAACTGCAGGGGTATATATAGCTTAATCTCTGACTGTTTTCCATCAACCCCCACTACAGCAGTCTTCAGATTGTTCATCTTCCGTAGTATAGTGGTCAGTATGCAAGCTTGTCACGCTTGAGACCCGGGTTCAATTCCCGGCGGGAGAGATCTAGCCACCTGCGAAACGCAGGTCTTCTTTTTTGCATTTTTACCATCTATAATCGTCAAGCTGAATCACTCCTTTGCCGTCACTCTCCTGTTAAAGCAAAGCCAACTTTGTCTAATCATTTGCACAGAACGAGATGGCACGTGGTGTAAATCATTTCTCGTCATGTCCAAGTTCATTGATGGACATCCTGCCGTCGTGGATCTGTTCCATCGCCATTTCATCCCGCTTTTTTGCTATCTTTGCCTACGATGGGCCTAGCTTTTGAACTTCTACGGTCGGCCAAAGTTTGAGGTAACTTTGGAGTAGCAATAAAACATGGATGAAGCTTCTCTATGAAGCTTTTCCGTCTATCGGCGCCATCTTGAACAATAGATGATTGTTCGTGGCTTGCGTCTACTCACCCTAGAGCGGGCCAGAGTGCACGGCCACGATTTTCTATGACGACAGTGTTTTTTGTCTCACTCAACAGAGTACCTATGATGAAAGGCTCTGGGCGAAAGTTCCCAAAACGGCCAAAATGCGTCTCCTTACATCAAAATTGACAGTCAGATCGGCTTTCTCAAGTCAAAGGATTCTTGCTCAGTTTGTCGCCAGAAATAGACCGTTATTCATCACCACACGGCAATTCGCAATGAAACGAAGTGCAGCTACAGCAGAACTAAAAACCAAGACCATAAGTCCCAAAAAGTCACGGTCGTCGAAGGCCTCGCCAGAACCTGGAGATAAATTGCCCGAGTATCATGAGACGCCATCGCGGAGGGATAAGGATGGCGAGATAATATGGCCGGCGCCGAATGAGCAAATGCAAGCTGCACGAGAATTCATTCGTGAATGGTAAGCCATGCTCTCAGTGATGGAAAGGCGCGAATCTTGGAGAGGTCTTGCTTACATTCGTGCCTTATAGTGTCGCAGCTTCTAAGCCAACTCTGATCATCCCTGATAAAGATGCCGACGGCCTCAGTTCCGGTGCCATTCTGAGGAAAACATTGATATTACTCGGTCTCGATCCGAAGTTAATATCAGCTTACGTACTGAAAAAGGGCCGCAATGTTCATGATGAAGAATCGCGCAAGGATATGGCCTCATATAAGCCATCATTCATTTTTGTCCTTGATCAGGGCTCCCGAGAATCACCGCCTCTTATTGATGAACCTCACCGAGCCTTGGTGATCGATCATCACCATGCCGAAGAGAAGGATCACCCCAAGGACGCCGTTTTCGTTACTGCATGCGACAGTCCGCCTGTGGCTACCAGCGCGTTGCTCACATATGAGATATGTCGCGACTTGCACCCAGGCGTTGAAGAGGCTTGCGGCTGGTTATGTGCTATGGGCGTCCACGGCGATCTTGGCAATACTATCAAGTGGGAACCGCCTTTTCCAGATATGAAAGTCATGTTCAAGAAATATACCAAAAAGGCCATCAACGGCGCCGTATCTCTCATCAACGCTCCTCGTCGAACGGCGGCCTACAATGTCCCTCTTGCGTGGGAAACGATGGAAGCTGCTGAAGCACCTGCAGATATCCTCGAGAATAAGAAATTACAAGCAGCCAGAGATGAAGTCAACGCGGACGTTTTGGCTCATGCTCGTACACCACCCAAGTTCTCAGCCGATGGGCGAATCGCAGTATTTCGCATCAACTCCCCAGCCCAAGTTCACCCAGTGATTGCGACACGCTGGGCTGGCCATTTGAGTTCAGCTAAACTCGAGGTCGTACTGGTAGCCAACCAGGGTTATCAGCCAGGCATGGTCAACTTTTCGTGTCGCATCCCGAAATGCGCCAGGGGCAGAGATCCGCCTGTCAACATTATCGAAATCCTTCGTGAAAAAGCATCATTGGCGAAAGATCCAACATTACGAGAGCGGTTAGGAGAGTCTTTTGCACGAGGTCATAAAGAGGCCAGTGGCGGTATAGTTCCGACGGCTGAGTTTGAAGAATTTATTGAGATACTGGAAGTTGGACAAAAACCCGCTGAACCACCAAAGCAAACGAAGCCGAAGCAAAAGAATAACCTCCTGAATTATTTCGGCAAAGAACAAGACAAGGCCCCTGCAGGGAGCGTGAGAAGCTAGCACCCTTGAGCCAATTTCCCTGGAAGTAACTTTCTCGCGATAAGGAGTTGTGGTGTACTTTACGCGTCAAGTCTTAGCCTCTGGTAGCGGTGTAACCTTGTATAATGTATCATTGGAGTAAAAGGATCTGGAAACCGTTTTTTCAATCGTATTTTAGCTTGGCAATTGCCGAATGCCGTGGTTGCTGTGCCTGTACTTCCTCATCAAGGTAAAAGCCTGTTCAATTTCAGTGACGTAGATCTTGGCCATTTAGTGACATGTGCAACCCTCCCCTGCACTCGATAGCTTGGCCTAGACAGGCAAGTGGCTGACACTGGGGATTTGAGCTGAGCAGCTTGTGAGCAATTGAGTATTAACTAGAGTCATGATTAGACTTAAAAGAATCGTAAACTCATTGCGCTACTCAATCGAGACCACCATGGACCGATATAAAGGTTGTTTCAGCCGGTATTTTACTGGATGGCTTCACCTTCGGAACTGTCAACAATAAACCCCGCAAGCAACGTGCAAGCGGGGTAGCGTATCAAAAGAGTTCAAGATCGTCGAGGCTAGGCCAACCACCGGATATTACCTCTTGACTCTTCTTATCAGTCATGACTTGACCAAGGAATAAATGTCGGGCCGCCCAAACCTGGAAATGCACGCTTTGAGGCCGCCCTTTAATACGTCTGTGAAGCCCGGGCTGATGGCTGCGGGCTGAGAATCAGGTTTCTCACATTCTTTGTGCATTTTCCCAACTTCTCACCTTTGTTTGTTTTAGCATTCAAGCCTTTCATTATGAGGTTCAGCACCAATGTTGTTGTCAACGCCATTTGGCTGACAAGCCTGGGCACTCCCTCCATCGCTGCTCCAGCAAAGGGTCTCAAGGGTCCTGAATTGAAGCATTGGCCTGAAGGCGCCGCTAAAGCTCTCAATAAAATGATTGCGGCGAATGCCAACAAGGGACAATATGCAGTTTTCGACATGGACAACACAAGCTACCAATTCGATCTTGAAGAGTCCCTTCTTCCCTACCTCGAGAACAAAGGCATTCTTACACGAGAAACTATGGACCCTGCCTTGAAGCTTGTTCCTTTCAATGACACTAAGACCCATAAGGAATCGCTATATAGCTACTACTTGCGACTTTGTGAGATTGAAGATGCAGTGTGCTATCCTTGGGCCGCGCAGATCTTCAGCGGCTTTCCACTAAAGGAGCTTAAGTGCTATGTCGATGAATTGATGGCATACAACAAGACTATCCCTACCACCTACTTCGAGGATGGTGTTCTTACAGAGACTGAGGTTTCTCCTCCTAAGATCTTTGAGGGCCAAGTCGAGCTTTACAACCGCCTTATGGCCAATGGTATCAGGGTCTACGTCGTCAGCGCTGCCTCTGAGGAGCTTGTCAGAATGGTAGCTTCAGACCCCAAGTACGGCTACAATGTTCCTCCCAAGGACGTCATCGGTGTTTCGCTCTTCCTCAAGACCAAGAAGGGCGAGATCACCACAGCTCGCAAGCAGATTGAGGACAAAGCCTACACTCAAAAAGTGCAAAAGCAGAACCTCGATGCCGAGATGACACCTTGGCTCTGGGCACCTGCTACCTGGAAGGCAGGCAAGTGGGCAGCCATCCTGACCTACATCGATGAGTGGAAGAGGCCTATTCTTGCTGCCGGTGATACTCCCGACAGTGACGGTCCTATGATTTTCCACGGTGTTAATGTTGAGCGTGGCGGTATTCATCTTTGGGTTGATAGAAAGGACTCTTACAGGGAAGAGATTGAGGGCATGATCAAGAACTTTACCATCGCTCAGAAGGAGGAGAAGCTACCGGTCACGGCTAACAAGAACTGGGTGTTTGTGAAGCCTACGGATCTCCATGATAAATGAGGTTCTATTTTAGGCTTTTGAGATGCTATTTCGGTTTCTGTGAGAGGCGAGTTCGCAAGGGCGTACAGTTCAAATCAGCACATTGATGAATAGAGTTCTTCAATCTTATTCCAATGAAGGGTTGGGGCCCAAGGTTATATGGTGACCTTGGGCCCTGAACTCTAACTCGTCTAAGGTTTGACATCTGTGTTTTTCAATGTGTTGGTTTCAACTGTACGCCTTGAAAGCTCGGCTATTCAAGAATCTCTAATAGCGAAAATACTCTGGATGGGTATATCAACAAAAGCTAGATAGTAATAATGTCGAATTTGCCATGAGCGTACAATCTATTATTTCATATCAAGATTTCGATCTATCACAGGCCATAGGATCTAGGTACCGCAATAACCCAAGGATTATCCACTAATGTTTAGGGCGTTAAAGTAAAGTAGCCTAAGTGCCCTTCTAAGCTTGCATAAGAGGGCCAATATATTTCGTCTTTTATTCTCTCATCGACAAACTCTTCCGATGCCGTGTTGCCTAAGCACTATGGAAATTCACGCTAAGTTCATCTCGAAGTTGAATACAGTATAGAGGAGCATTCAAGGAATATCGCATGGATTTCGGAGAGAGAAGGCGTTGACCGTATCGATGCATTCGAAGCAGGAACAATCAGAAAATCATAGGCACACCTTGACGATAGAACTTTAGTTATCACCCTGGAGTATCTTAGTTTAATTTAACATGTACTTCTTTGTATTTGTGCTCCAAATGCAACGCTGACACTAGACCCCATCCATGTGTATTCTATCGACAGACAGGTACACTGTTGGGCTTCGCAACTCCATTGCTGGGATTAGATTGAGAGCAGCCGTTCGCAAGGCCAAACGCAGTATCATCAACAGCCGCGTTGAAGGCAGCTCCACAGTTCGGGTCACTATAAATGTCAGAAGATGCCTTCTTGGAAGTTGAAGAGAACATAACATACCCAGAGCCTCCACTGGCACTGTTGAAGTAAGAGCAAATATCATGAGAAAAGCAGTCCTGAGTGTAGGCATTGCCCAGAGCCGCTCCACTGCAGCCGGCACCACATCGTCCGTTACATGAGTAACTGTCAAGTCAGAATCAGGTTAAAAGGGTATGATGAGGTCGAAACTTACTCTCCTGATCCGGAAGGGTTGGCTCCAAAGTTGCTGCCGACGACGCCAGTGAAAGTACATTTCTTGCCAGCAGCGTTGGTCCAAGAGGCTGTGGCGGTCTGGCCTACACGGAGACATGTAATAGCTCGCTTCTCAAGAACAGGAGAAGCGACAGAGAGGCTGGCGAGGACCAGAACAACAAGAGAACCGAGCATGATGAGTGATAGTTTGCGAAGATGATAGGGCTGTACTCTTTCACGATAGTCATTGATTCATTTTTTCATCTCTCTTATACAAAATTATAGTTACATCGTTTGACCCGGCTATTTGTTCGTCATCGGATGTCTATCTTGAAACGGTAGCAGAGCGGAGTATCTCTCGGAGATTGAATGCTTGGTCCACGTGCCCCATCTTCAAAACACACTACGATCGTTCCTTGACCACGGTAAATTCTTCTGCAGGATTGCGACATATGTACCCCATATTACGCTAAGCTGGATATGAATTTGTTGGGAGAATGTTTGATGACATAAAGGCCAAGAGTGATCGTGTGAGCGTTCGGAATTGTATCGTCCGAGGCTACAATAGGGAAGGGTCCGAAGACGTAGATGACGTCTTTGTCCATTGCTTCTCTTTTGCGTTAAAGCGCATAGATGAAGTGGTAAGCACAGATCATAGGCTGTCTTGTTCGCGGTACCACTTGTGATCGAGACCCTTCCTACGCCAAGCGAGGATGTAGATTTGCAGCAGTTTTGCATTCCATTCTTATTCACCTTGAGCTGGCTGCCAGAGAAGTTTTATCGTCTGGCTTGGGACTGCTCCGCATCAGACGCAGTCATGGGCATCATACATACATCCTTGTCGAGAATTCATATACCGAGAACTATTTATTAGTCATCGCCATTTGGCGCAGTCTAACCAATTCGAGACGATGCTTACTGCCACAGCCCGATTCCTAACACCTCAGCTGAAGGTTCCAAAAAGCGGAATGAATTTCAGGAACCCATACGAATGATCTCAAAATGCGTGACTGGCACTCTCCACAATGCAGAAGACCCGATGTGGTCATATATGAGGGGCTCGGCCTACCGACATGTATGGACTGCGGTGAGATGTGTCCTCCTCATGAAGTCGACAAAGACCACCAAGACGAACTCAAGATACCGCCCGGGCCGCGGAGGACTGCCATGCACTTGACGTGGCCACCGACTATGTCTTTCACCAAGAAAGCTTATCCCCACGGTCCTGTATCATTGAACAGTGCTCTGAATATTTATTTGGAGAATCTTCCTTGCCATAAGGAAGACGGTCAGGAAACATCTTTTTTTCTTTCTGAGACCAGTAGCCGGAATGAGCCATCCTTGAAGCATAAGCCTATGTATAAAGAACTCCATGGAAACAGGATTCGTGTTTTGAGGCTATCGAAAGGGCGCTTTGAGAGCCCTGTACACGGATTCCTCGAAGTCCTCGATCTCGAAAGCCAGGAGCCCAATATTGAAGAGCCAGGTACACTGTTAGTGGATGAGAACCGCAATCATACCGAATATGAAGCGGTTTCATATACGTGGGCCACAAGCTCCGGCAATAGGCGGAAGGATCATGTCATCTTCATCGGGAAGGCATGGAACATGCTACCTATTACAGAAAACTGTTTTGATGCATTGAAAAACTGCCGTCTTGAAGATCGAGATCGCTATCTATGGATCGACTCTATATGCATCAACCAGTCTGATATCTCTGAAAGAACCCACCAAGTGGGTATGATGAGGGAAATCTACTCTGCAGCCAGTCGCGTATTGATCTACCTTAGCGTCGACCGTGCGAATAGTTCAAGAGCAGTCGACGATCCAGAGGTACTCTGTCTGAACCCGTATTTCTCGCGTATATGGGTTGTTCAGGAGATTGGCTCGGCGAAGAAGGCACTAGTGTTGTATGACCGCCAGTCTATGAGTTGGGGATTCTTCCATGAGAATCTGCAGCGACTTATGACCAAGAGATGGATACGACACTTTGGTCGTCCGAGACAAATCGACGACATGAGCTCGTTCCTAGCACTGCTCGAAGACACCTGGGACTGCCATGCGACAGACCCGAGGGATAAAGTATTCGCACTACTTGGGCTCTGGGAAGCATATTTAGAACCGGACTACACTCTTCCACCACAGGCTGTTTACACAGGGTTGGCTGCCAGCTTTGTGACGGATGAGAACAAAAAACTGGCTGGAAGAGTACTTGACATGGCGAGTCAGGGCCATTTCATGCCTGGCCTACCATCTTGGGTTCCCGACTGGAGCGTCAAGAGTCAACAGCTATACCAAAGGACCTGGTCCAAAGGATATAAGGGCGATTGGTATGAGCCATCGGGTGGTCGGGCGAAGAGACAAATGTTTCGCGTCCATGGCGAGACTGGTTGTTTGTGTGCTGTAGCTGCCGCTATCGACGTCTTAGCTCCATACCTATCCAAAGGTTTCCGAGTGACCAGCGATGGGATGAGCACTGCAACAGTCGGTCAGATTCAGGTGTCTATGCCTCTGCACGTCACGTCTCGATGCGAACCAACTGATCGCATTTTCTCAATCTATGAATACCGCTTCTTCATGATTCTTCGAAAGAAAGCAGACACACACATATATACGTTCATCGGGCTTTGCGACTACAAGGTAGTTGCCACTCCAGAGACAACCGTAGTTGACTCAATTAAATACCTTCATGATTGGGCGTGGTTACTAAATGGACAGGGAGCATGGTCATGGTCTAAACTAGGAAGCTGGGAGCACCTACACAGATGTTGGCTGGCGCTTAAAGAGCAAAAAAGGGTGGAACGTCGAGTTCATTTTCGAAGGTTGATATACAAAGCGTTCTTTCTAGGCAAGATGCGCAGCTTAGCCAATTCTTTGCGGCGCTATCAGAGCGATAATAATGCCGAGACCCACGAAGCACTGGAATTCTTCCGAAGGCAATGGAAGAAAATATACCAGAATTGGCTTAAAGCAGACTGTCCACAGGTTTCGATTCAACGAAAGTGCAGGGCCGACCTTTGTGGCCTTCTAAGGGGCTGGAAGAGCTTGGAACCAACAAAAGAATCTCTCGAAACCACGGTACTTGACTCTTCGATGTGGTTACCTGTCACATCTCATTGGTTCGACTGGACAGAGCATCACGATCGAGATCTCTTGTATAGCCACTACTTACCCTTGGCTGCGTGTATATCAAAACAGATCCCTCTGCCGCCATTGAACCTAGTTGATACGCCAGAAAGCCGGAGACCACTCATACTTGACTGCAATATCGAGACAGGAATCCGACAACTACAGCTTGTCGCGCACAAATACCCCTTGGTGGCTCCGGAAACAATCCAAAAAGGTCGATCCTACCCACTAGAGACCTCTTACAATCACAACTTCAGAACTGATTATTTCGATGCATTTCTACGCTGGTTGTCGAAGCCATGTTCACCTAGCATTTCGTATCTTAGATCTAGCACGAACTTGAACAGTCTGTTGATCTGGGAGAGTAGATTCGAGGTGCAGCAACAGATCGACGTCGTTTACCGACGTCTAGACGCAAACTTTGACAAACATCTGGACTCATGGTCAAAGTCCTCTTAAAACCATACCAGTCTGACGGAGTTCTTCAACCTTGTTTATCAAGAGCAGTTTGAGCTCCTATGGTTCTATGTCCTTTACGACGCAGAGAGCACGAAGCAAGCTGTTGAAGAGTTTCCTTTGTTGAACATAGGCGCTCAATTTGCGCGTTTGTTTTGGTGGAGGTTTTATCGAAGTATTCACAGAGTATACCACTTACTGGAAGGGATATTACCTACCGATGATCAGATTGAACAACAGTGGAATGCCTGTCTCAAGTGGCTGTCACAACGAAACTCCATGAACCACGTGGCAGACTTGCCTTCGTATGAGCCCAAGTTCCGGCACAAACCAGAAGATGACGCCGATTTCCCGTCTAACCACCGGGTTTATCACTTTTTCTCCAAGCTCAACTACTATGGATGGTTCATTTCAATCCCTCTGCCAGGGGTAGCCCCAGAAGACATTGAGAAAACGGAGCCTGAACCTACCTCACGCTCGAAACTAAACTTTGCGGAACGACGACTGTCTCAGATTGTGCACTCTGAGATTCAGCGACGAAGACTTCCGGAGAAGCTGTTTTCTTCTCTTTTTAGCGGTACTCATACAAACCAAGAGCTGCCTGATTTAGACTATGAGAAGTTTCAAGCCATGGTAGACAATGGTCATCCGCATCTTCCGGATTACAACCTCGCTGAAGGATGGAGACAGGAGGCAAAGTCGTGGAATGAGGTAGAGGCGTATGTCTCAGACTCCGAGTGGCATATGACTAGCCTAAAGTTAAAGCTTTTGGGAGGTTGGGGTGCCAGGACAGAAGAGAAGAAGAATTGGGACATATACAAGGAGATCGTTGTGATATAGACTTTAGCTTTATCACATTTTCATTGAAGAAGTCAAGAGGTTTACTAATCGTGACATCTGATTCGGATTCGGTTCGTGGAATTCCAAGACATCCTGCCTGGTTCTTGGTCTGGGAAGCTCTCCGATCTTACCCAGTATGCCTGGGTAATTTGAAACTCGGATGTGGTCAACGCGACTTGGTACGCCGGGAATCACTTTGATTCTTATTAGGGCCACAAGTTCCACGTATCGTTCCAGCAGATTAATCATGGCGTGGTCCAGCATAATGTCTCAGGAGTCCTGCAAAGGTTCTTCTCAAACCCTCTAAACTTGATCCGTTTTCATCGAAGGTGAATCAAAGGGGTACCCACAAGCTTCTGATATTTCAGCAGTATCGTGTAACGACATCCGGCATCTGTGCCGTGCCGGCGATCTTTCGCCTGATGCTGTACATGTTGGCTGAGTATAATTGCTTTTTGAGTTCGCAGCTGAATAAGGAGCCGTCATCATGTCTGCTCGTAGAAACAAGCTCAGCTGAGCTCTCCACTTTGCGTTGATTGAGTTTTGAAAGTGAGGTTGCTGGAGAATTCGCAGATCTGCTAGTGTTAGATGCCGTGCACTAACGCCGCTGCGGCCCGATAGCTGAAAGTTAACGTCAACCAACCCGACTGTCGTTGTTAATATCACTACGGTCTGAAAAAGAGTATGGGGATCTGATATGCCACCTGTACGGGAATATCATTCAGTACAGTCGAGCTTGTGGATAGACATAACTGTTGTCTTCGCATTGTAAGGAAGAGAAGAGAAGGGATGGTTTGGGTTGTGCTGTGCCATCGTCATGATGTCTCACCTCTGCACCGTTGTTCTGGATTTCTCTCCCGCCCTGAACTGCATCAGGTATTTGGGATTCTTTGCATGACGGGTCCATTGTATTCCCCAATCAAATATCAAGGCTGGGGACTGGGAATACCGCCCTTGTAGAATGGTGTTTGCTATGTAGATCGTGAACCTTCAATACGGTTTGTCAAAACCATGCTGATCATCCGAAATCCATCGGCAGTCAGCAACATCGAAACAAGACTACACAGAGGGCTAGAATCGTGAAGATCATGGTATTGGAAAAAGTATAAGAATGGCAACGAGTCGCAGCTATTTCTAGTCAATCACTTCACACAACAACAATCTTATCTACCAATAACTCATTAAACCACAACATCATCACCCAATATGGCTTACAACCTTCCTCGCCGCTTCTCCATCTCCATTGATGGCAAGCCCGTCGCAATGCCCGAAGGCCAAGTCGAGGAAAGGTCTCAGGCATTCTCAGTGGAAAATGGCGGCGGTCGGCCTGCAATCTTCGAGATTCAAGATGACCACCTCGTTAGTGGCGATCTTGTCCTGGGTCGCTCCATGGTTGAGCCAATGATAGCGGCACCCAAACCTGTTATCTGGTGCCACAAAGAGAACATGAGACAACTCCAGCCTGTCCAAGTTGAGAACAGGGGTAATGGTCCTGAAATAAGATTCCGCGGTATGGTTATATCCCTTTGACAGAAAGCTATATTCTTACATGTTGCCATCACAGGTGAAAAGCTTGCCTACATGTCGGGGCTGCTTTGCAGTCCCATGTTCCATGGTAGGTGAAGTCCGGCCCAATCTTGTCACGATTTGACAACTGACATTTCACAGACGAGGAATTCAACAGCCAGAAAGTTGAGGTCCGACCTGTGCCTTTCTAAACGCACTGGGGTAATCTGGGTACGGGATGGATTGATACGGAGATGGGGTCTATCATCTTGGTGTCATAGCCTTCCAGAACTTGTCCGTAGCTAACTGAATGAAGTTACTGCAACTTGAAACACAAGATATGTGCAGTCATGTACTTGTATTCTTGTAGGAAGGTGTTTCCTGTAGATCTAAGTCACATCACAGGCCTATATGTGTTAACTTTACGGTGCAATCTTGTACATACGACCATACCTACCAGAAAATACGGGATCCCGTCCGCTCTCCCATAGTCAAGCTGGTAAGGGGCGGATTAGTAGTTGGGTCGGTGACGACCAGCGAATCCCCGCTGTTGTATGT